TCCTCCACAACTAGACCGAAGAACAAAATGACAGCAACTTGTCTGTTCCCCTTCCCCCAATTCCCCAATAAAAATCTTAAAAAAAAAAATTAGAGGTTGCAAAATATGCAAATAAAGCAAGTTGAGAATGGCTATATCTTACATGTATGTTTATACACTATGAATGATAGGAACACTATGAATGATAGGGATGCTGTATTTTCAACATGACCCTGGGTAAAAAAAAACCAATCACATCTATCATTATAAAATCAAATTAACATTACCAGGTTAAGTAGGACTTGACTTTGCATGCAAGCTTTATTATTTTACATGTTAGTTAACCTGGACCCACCTGACTGGAGATGTCCATTGCGGCATGTCAAGTTAGTACTGTCATTATAGACGTCTGTTTGTGACTTGGAAAATTGCAAAACTGGTTGCAGCTTCTCTATGCAACAGAGGGGGTAAGAAAGAACAAAATAAACAGAAAGAAAAAAATACATAATGAAAAAAGATACATGTAAAAATGAAAAATGATTTAAAGTGTTACAAGGATGTTGTTACATGATGAAAGGTTAAAAAATGAATATGGTCTCCACCACCAAGATACTTATTAAATATAATTGGCAACTTATAACACAATTTTATTTTTTTAATAAAAGATTGTATAGCACAAAAGATAGAGAACATTAAAAAGGCTTTACAGAAAAAGTCAACGAGTTGGGTAGGATTTGAAAAGATAAAAAGGACATTTCACGAAAGGAGAACAGCACTTAAAATGACACAGACAGAAACTATAAGGAGTGTCCAGGAAATGCCATGTTCAGCTACATTAACATATGTCAAGCAAAAGATAAAGGCAATAAAGCAGAATGGAATAAGCATGCTGCAGAACTGTGTGTACAATACCCTGTCATTTTTAACATACACATGTGCACACTTATAGACAGTAGTCCCCCCTTATCAGCAGGGGATACGTTTCAAGACTCCCCAGTGGATGCCTAAAACTGCGGATAGTATAGGACCTCATACATACATATACTTTTTATACAGACACACTTATAATAAAGTTTAATTTATAAATTAGGCACAGTGGGCTGGCCGAGTGGCTCAGTTGGTAAGAGTGCGAGCTCTGGGGCCGGCCGAGTGGCGCGATGGTTAAGAACTCGCTTGGGATGCCAGAGGGCCCCGGTTCAGATCCCACATATGAGGGCCAGTGA